CCCTTGGCTTTTTTCTATTTGTTTTTGTCGCTGAGACAGAAAATCTCACTCTGTCGCCCCAGGCTGGAGGCAGTGGTGACATCATAGGCCACTGGCACGGCTCTCACGCGACCTCCAACCTCCTGGTTCAAAAAATCCTCCCACCTCAGCCTCCGAGTAGCTTGGGACTACAGCCATGCGCCACCACACTCCTGGCTTGTTAATTATTGTAGAGATAGGTTCCTCACGGGGTTGCCCAGGCGGTCCTGCAAACACGCTGGCTCAAGCAATCCTGCCCGAGCTTCAGCCTCCAAAAGTGCTGGATTACAGGCGCCTGAGCCACTGCACTCGGCCGCCCCTTGCTTTTTTTTTCTTTTCTTTGTTTTTGGGGGGGGCTGGGCACAGTGGCTCACACCTATAAACCTAGCCACTGTTGTTGGGCTGAGGGCCAGGTGGCTCACCTGAGGTCGGGAGTTTCGACCACCAGCCTGGGCCAACATGGTGAAACCCCGTCTCACTAAAAAAATACAAAAATTAGGCCGGGCGCGGTGGCTTAAAGCCGTGGCAATCCCAAGCACTTTGGAGCCGAGACAGTGAACACACAGGTCAAGGGAGATCGAGACCATCCCCTGGCTAACATGGTCGAAACCCGTCTCTACTAAAATACAAAAAAAAAAAATTAGCCGGGTATCGGTGGCGGCGCCTTGTAGTCCCAAGCTACCGGGAGGCTGAGGGCAGGAGAATGGCCGTAAACCCGGGAGGCGGAGCTTGCAGTGAAGCTGAGATCGGCGCCTGGCAACTCCAGCCTGGGCGACAGAGCGAGACTCCGTCCAAAAAAAAAAAAGAAATACAAAATAGCCGGCACCAGTGGCGGGCACCTATAATCCCAGTACTCGGAGGCTGAGGCCAGGTGAATTGCTTGAACCCGGGAAGGTGGAGTCTGCATGTGAGCAGAGATTGCGCCACTGCACTCTAGCCATGGGCAACGAGAGGCTGAGACTCCCGTCTGAAAAAAAAAAAAAGATAGTAGAGTTTTGCTCTGTGGCCGCGAGCTGGAGTGCAGTGGCATGATCGCGCGGTTCACTGAACCTCGCACCACCACTGGATTCAGAAATTCTCCTGGCCCGACGCTCCTGGTAGCTGAAATACAGGTGCCCCCACCACCATCCGGCTTATTTTTTGTTTTTTAGTAGAGACAGGTTTCACCCATGTTGGACAGTCTGGCCTCAAACTCCTGAACCCTCGGGGGATCTGCCCACCCCAGCCTCCCAAAGTGCTGGGGATTACAGGCGCGTGAGCCCACCACACCAGTAATTTTGTATTTTTCAGAGAGACGGGGTTCTCCACCATGTTGGCCAGGCTGGTCTAAACTCCTGATTCAGTGATCCACCTGCCTTGTGTATACCACTGCACCTAGCCACAACAAGCCGTTTTCTGGCATGGTACTTGGGAGGTTGAGAATTACAAATGGTGAGCCACCCATGCCTCACCCTGTGTGTTTGCTTTTATTTGTTTTATCTACTCATCTCAAAAAAAAGAAAGTAAAATTCCAAACCAAAGAAATTCATCCACTAAACCCCCAACTTCATTAAAGTGCTGTGGCCCCCACAAAACACCAAGCAGAACTGCAAATCCCATAATAGTGCTTTCTGGCCGGGCTGGTGGCTCATGCCTATAATCCCAAGCACTTTGGGAGGCCGAGCGCGGGCGGATCACCTGAGGTCGGGAGCATCAGAAACCAGCCTGACCACATGAGAAACCCCGTCTCCTACTAAAAATACAAAATTAGCCCAGCGTGGTGGGCATGCCTGTAATCCCAGCTTACTCGGGAGGCTGGAGCAGGAGAATCACTTGACCCGGGAAAGTGGGAGGTTGCAGTGAGACTGAGATCACCCATTGACTCCAAGCCTGGGCAACAAGAGCTAAACTCTGTCTCAAAAAAAAAATAAAAATAAGTTCTTTCTAACACCTCCCTACTGAGACCCCCATTGTGCCCTATGACATGTACGAGCTCTCTCTCCCTCTCTCTTTCTCTCTCTGTCTCTCTCTCTTTGATGAGTAATAAGCTTGAATGTGCTCAATCACAAGTACATTGCTGGTGGTCTTTGGCTGTGGGAGGAGGGGAGGGATGACTGTCCCCTTTAAAGGGCACCTTGGAGATCTGTGCGCCCTAGAATAATATTAAGAGGCACAGTGACTCAGGGAAGTGGGTCCATTCTGTGTGGGGTGTGTAGAAGGTAAAGGGACAGAAAAATTTCAAAGGATGATAATAATAATGGACACCAGCAGCCTATTACATCAAGTCCTCAACACTGACACTGCTTTCTGAAGTGGTTACCATCATCAATCCCCTTTTGCAGATGACAAAACCTAAGTTCTAGCTGGGCATAGTGGCACACACCTGTAGACCCACCTACTTGCAAGGCTGAGGTGAGAGGATCACTTGAGTCCAGGAGTTCAAGTCCAGCCTGGACAACATAGCGAGACCCTACTTCAAAAACGAAACCAACCAAAAAAAAAAACCCAGAGGCTCCAAGAAGTCAATTTACTTGCCTGGGTTCCTGGAGCTCTCAGGAGGCAGGATTTGCACCAAGCCTGACTGGTAATTTTCCTCCCGGCTGCCCCTAGAGGTGCTGAGTAGTCATTATGACAGTACCATTACACAAAGGAAGGTCTTGGGATCACAATGGGCAGGGCAGACCACACTTCGATGCAGCTTGGGAAAGAACACGAGGGTCCTCTGAGAGACCAGGGACAGAGGGAGATCCAAAGATCTAGTCTGTAGCTAAGTGCGTTTTCTAAGACTCATTGATTCACACACCATCCCTTGAGGTAGGTACACTGTCCTTGTCCCTAATGTACAGAGGTGAAGACTGAGGCTCACGGGAGCTTAATTACTTATTCCAACATTACCTGGCTAGTAATCTCAGTTGCTGGATTCTCTGATGACCCATTTTGGAGGTCATATTCAACTCTCAACTATTTCAGGTGGCAAACTGATTCTAAAAGCTACAAACTCAGCCAGGCGCGGTGGCTCACACCAATAATCCCAGCATTTTGGGAGGCCAAGGCGGGTGGATCACCTGAGGTTAGGAGTTCGAGACCAATCTGGCCAACGTGGTGAAACCCCATCTCTACTAAAAATACAAAAATTGGCCGGGCATAGTGGTGGACACCTATAGTCCCAGCTACTCTGGAGGCTCAGGTGGGAGAATCGCTTGAACTTGGGAGGCAGAGGTTGCAGTGAGCCGAGAAAAAAAAAAA